GAGTTTATATATCGCAATTTTGAGTTTATATTTAATTTAGTTTACATATCGCAATTTTGAGTTTACATTTCATTTAGAGTTTATATATCGCAATTTTGAGTTTATATTTCATTTAGAGTTTATACCTCGCAATTCTGTTTATAGCTCACACTTTTAAGTTCATATCTCACAATTTTGAGTTTATTTCTCACAGTTCTGAGTTTACAGTATATCTTTCCATTTGAAGTTTATATCTTGCAATTCTGAGTTTATATATCGCAATTTTGAGTTTATATTTCACAATTATGAGTTTATATTTCACAATTTTGAGTTTACATTTTGAGTTTATATTGAATTTTCAGTTTATATCTCGCAATTCTGAGTTTACATAATAATTTTCAGTTTATGAGTTTATATTCACAATTTTGAGTTTATATTTCACCTTTTTTCCTCAGAATTGTGGCTTCTATAACGTGCTTTATTGGCTTGTTAAAATCTGTATGTGTGCTGACAAAACATTGCTTATTTTTCTGTGTGCAATGGGGAAAAATTGTGCAAAATATGTACAAATCAACTAAAAAAAATACTTACACTTTCATTATTGTTATTTAAAAAAAAAAAGAATGAAAAAAATAATAATTTTCAGTAAAAAAAAAAAACTGCTCAAAATGTGTTCTTCAAAGTAATTTCATGATGCCTACTGTCTTGCATCGTATAAATCTGAGTGCTTGTTTTAAAAGATCTTAGCAAGTGTATTTTGTCTTGATCCTCCGTCAGATTTTCTGCGGTTTATGTAAATGAGCGTACGGTCAGGTCATCGCTCAGATAATGAGAACATATACAGTTGCAGAAGTCGGAGGATGTTGCCATAGTGATTTGATGATTCCAGAGCATCTACAGTCCACAAATAAATGGACATGAGATGTAAATGTCTAATTTTGTACATACATTTTGTACCACCGCCCACATATGACAGACCTGAGAAGTCTTCTTTCATACTGGAGAAACTAAGAACTAAAATCTGCAGTTTTATGAGTTCTGTTAAACTCTCTTGTGTATTTTAAACACCATATATGATCGTTTTGAGTCAGGAACAGGCTGAATCGCTGCATTTTTAAATATTTACTACATAATTAAATTTTCTGAACAATATACTTCTACCACATTTATTAATATCCATCAATGTTAATTTCAAAATGTACCAATGTGATTTTAAAATCCAAAAAAGTTATTCATTAACATTAGTGTGAACTAGCATGAACAAACCAGGGTTATTATTGTTAACTAAAACTAACATTTTGTTAATGCTGAAATGAAATAAAATATAAATATTAGATGCAAAACTCATTTAAGCTAGTTCAGATATTTTCATTTAATTTAAGTTGAAGCTCTAAAATGACTAACTAAAAGCAAAATAATAAAAGTAAAACTAACTGAAATAAGTAAGTAAATAAATAAATAAATAAATGGCAAAAGCACTTATGAAAATGACTAATTATGTAACTAAAATTTAAATGAAAACAAAGAATAAATTAACGGCTAATTCAAAATATTAATAAGAACTATAATAGTATACAGAACTATAGTATAGTGTAGTATAGTGTAGTGTAGTGTAGTGTAGTATAGTACAGTACAGTGTAGTATAGTATAGTGTAGTGTAGTGTAGTACAGTACAGTACAGTGTAGTATAGTATAGCGTAGTGTAGTGTAGTGTAGTGTAGTATAGTATAGTATAGTATAGTATAGTGTAGTGGAGTGTAGTGTAGTGTAGTATAGTATAGTATAGTATAGTACAGTACAGTACAGTGTAGTGTAGTATAGTATAGTATAGTGTAGTGTAGTATAGTGTAGTGTAGTGTAGTATAGTATTGTATAGTATAGTATAGTATAGTATAGTGTAGTGTAGCATAGTATAGTATAGTATAGTGTAGTATAGTGTAGTGTAGTATAGTATAGTATAGTATAGTATAGTATAGTATAGCGTAGCATAGTATAGTATAGTATAGTGTAGTATAGTGTAGTGTAGTATAGTACAGTGTAGTGTACTATACTACACTGTACTATAGTACAGTGTAGTGTAGTATAGTGTAGTGTAGTATAGTGTAGTGTAGTATAGTACAGTGTAGTATAGTATAGTGTAGTGTAGTATAGTATAGTATAGTACAGTATAGTATAGTGTA